ATATATATATATATATATATATATATAGTATAAATTTATTTAATTTTTTTTGTAATTTATGTTTTTGACCCATAATTTAACAATTAATTATTATTTTACCCATTGTATTAGGATTTTTAATAATAATAATAATAAATTTTTTTTTTTCGGGTTTTACAAGTTAACTTGATTTCACTAATTGGAGAATCATATTAGGGATAAGTAAAACACACCAAGATGAGAAAGAAGTGAATGAAAGATGCTGAGAACATTCAATTGACATAAATTTCATGATACAAAGGTGCAATTGACAGAGTACCAACTTTTACCAAGATGGGTCCAAAGAAGCTAAAGAAGTGATCCTTTCGATTTTAAGAAAAAATTGTAAACATGACACCAAGTATAATACGAAACAATAATGTAATTAGTGAGCTTCACTAAAAGAGCAATGCATAATCTTTTTTTCTTTGATTAACTAATGCACCAAGAGATTTTGACTAGAACATATTTCACTAGATCTTCCTTCCCCCATCTTCCTGCCCAAAAAATCCAGGGAACCAAAGAAAAAGTAAAAAGAAAGGGAGAAAGGAAAGCTGAGAAGGAATCAAATCCAATCAGAAATTTCCAGTTAGAGTTCTTGCAAAACATTCGAGCCCATCACAGTAATTATAGTAGTCAATGGATCCATGACCTTAATGTGGAATATCTAAATCTCGCAAGTTAAGAAACTCATGTTGACGACACCTTGACTAAAGCAATATAAAAAGCAAATCAGCATTCCTCAAAATTATAATAAAACTATAACTGGTACACATTTTGTGCCAAGTAAGTCATTTGGTCCAGATTAAACTAAAAATGAAACTTGCTCACTATCCATGAGAAATCAATTGTATGGGAACCTCAAACTAGATAGGCTAGAATAGCAATAAGGAATAAAGAAGAGTACAGATTGTGAGATGTTCTGAAAGAATAATTCAAATAACGACAATTGCCCTGAAATTAACTCATTAGAATCCATGCCAAATGAGAGCACCGGCGCGAGTGGGAGATATATATATATATATATATATATATAGAGAGAGAGAGAGAGAGAGAGAGAGAGAGAGAGAGAGAGAGCTCAGCTTTGTACATGAACAACTCAAGATTATTATTTTCACAAAGGATTACATCTTGCATGAAATGTTTATTCGGTGGATCAAGTAGTCTAGCAAACAAGTACTGAGCAACAAAATTAAGCAATCAACCGACTACCAAAATCCTGCACAGTAACGCACACCCGCACCAAAATAACAGTGAGAAGTTCATAAAACAAAGTGGGATTCTCTGATACCTCTATCGCCTTGCTAGGAGCAAACCGAATGACATTAACCAGATTACCCCTATATCGGCCCGTCCATCCCTCAGTCTTCATGATATTATGAAACACTTCAGCCATCGAATGTCCAAAATTCCCAACAATCAAATGAGTTCTTATTGTCTCCAGATGAGCAACCGATAATGTTGTGACAGCACCCGCAATTGCCCCACAAATTAACCTCCTCAGTGAAGGATTCCCAATCTTAATTCTCAATTTAAGAGCACCCTTCTTCTTTTTCTTCTTCAACACCCCTTCCTCTCCCTCATCCCATGCCTCTCCTATCACCAATTTGGGTTCCCCAACAATCCAAAAACTGGGTTCTGGCAATGCNCACCCCTTCCTCTCCCTCATCCCATGCCTCTCCTATCACCAATTTGGGTTCCCCAACAATCCGAAAACTGGGTTCTGGCAATGCCATGTATTTTGTGTACAAATTCGAAGATCTCAATCTGAGATTTAACCCATCATCAATAGACTTTGAAGAGTTTGGGGATATCCCAAATCCCATTACCATTTTCCCAACTACTGCAAATAAGCCGTCAGGGTAAAAAGCATCATCTTGACAACATATAAACTGCACGGGATAATTCCTGCAATCTTGGGAGGTAGTGATCCTTCGATTAGCGAACCTGAAAAACGAGGTTAGGAAAAAAGGGGGCCAGGCCCGGCGAATCCCCTCCGAAGCTTAAGTCAATAAGATCGAAGGGTTGGTTCTCAATGAATTTGTTCTGGATTGATTTTGCGTACCTTTGTCCATATCTCTTGAGGGATATTTATACCTGAATAAGTAATGATTGCCCAATATCTCCAGTCCCATCTGAACATCTCTTTTCTGACGTACCATCCCTTGTGCAGTGAATGCTTCTCCTTCACGCCTCCTTCAATTAAATGCTAGGAGAATGGCATAAATGCTCAGCACGAGCCGAGCATTCATGCTATGAGCCGAGCACTCCATCACGTGAGCCGAGCGGTTCAAATTGATTACTCGGCAACACGATTCCTCGGGAGCACCCTGTACTTGGCTGAACAGTCCCTCGGGAGAAAGCCATCGCGTTGTTCCGATGCATTTAGTCATTAATGCTCTCGTCATAATGACAGTAGGTATAGACTTGCAGGGAGCAGTTGGTGACAGGCGTGCATTTAATTTTCCTGTCATTATCACTCATTCAGTCATAAATGTGAGGTCACATCACTTTAATTATGATGTCAGTTGTTGTAGGCGGCCGTTTTGTACCGCCATGCCTCGGCACACCCACTCGGCACCTCCTGGTTATTCAAACGGATTTATTTTGCCACGTGTCACCCTGGGATTTGAGTCAATCTTCATAGTCCCGCCAACTGCCCCCTAGACGTAATCCCTCACGCGGCGCTTGACAAGTGGAGCGAAGAGATTGGGGCTGTCATCATGCCTCATTAATGGGGACGGTTGTTCGCATGTCTGGGGCCGCCCTTTTCCAATGCCCTCATGATGAGCCAACTCCTCGATTTTTGCCCCTATAAGGCCCTATAAATAGGGGCATTCTCTGCCCTCAAAGAACTTTTGCATCCTCCATTTCTCCTCAACAACCAGACCCTGAGTACTTTCCTGTTCTCCGAGTCTTCCTGATCTGCCGAGCTTTCTCCGAAGACCACCTTCCTATAAGTACTTCCACTTGAGCTTTTTCTTTCCTCATTTCTTCTTCATTTCATCCTTTTAGCTCCCACTGATGGCCAAAACTAGCAAAACTAGGGGGGAAACATCTATTAGAACCAAACTACCTGCAAACTGAGGAGGACCCAAGTAATAGATGAGAACATCCACACCTTTAGGGTCAGATACCATATCCGTGAGCCCGTCTTCACCTTCCTGTTCAACCCTTCTCGCCATAAAAGGGACATGGGAAGTGAGGACATGATGTCTTTCTGGACGAAAGACATCATGGAAGGAGGGTTGACCTTCCCTCTCCCTCCTCTGTTGCTAGGGATGTTGATGCAACTGAGGCTCTTCCCCCTACAATGCGGGGTCAACTTCTTTAGGATTGTAATGGGGGTGGTGGCTTTAAATGCTCAGCTTGAGACTAACTTGGGGGTAGACGAGATTTTGTTCTGTTATGACCTAAGGCTAGTCGTCGGGGGATGGTATTACCTCCAAGCCCGAGATCCCTCGATGTATCTGGTAACCCACATGCCTGACTCGGATAAGGGGTATGTGGACGATCTGATCATGCTCGGCGGAAGTTGGGAAAAAGGGACCGGGCCCGAGTATGACGGATTGTACTGCCCCAAAGTGCCGAGGGATGAAGGTGTGTTTTCGTCCCGACCTCTTGATTTACCTGTTTAGGTCTGAGGAATGTACTGATTTTTGTTGTGTTTTTGCAGAAGGATATTGTCAGGACGCTGCTCAGCCGTTGAGGTCTCAAGTCTGATTTGCCGATTTGCTCAAGGTTTGGTCCACGAACCCGGTTGACCAAGCGACCCATACCCTCCTCGGATACACACCAACCTACAGCCGATTCTCTCAAATCCCTCCCCTCCTTCACTCCTTCTGTTTGGGAAGACCGCTCCTCGTCAGAAGAGGAAGAATCCGAGGGAAGCTCAGAAGAAGAACCTACCCATAACGACCCCGAGTCTCCCACGGTCGACATGTTTAATCCACCACGAATTACCGCAGCTTCCATGGAGGTCGCCGCCTCGGCCAGGAGAGTCAAGCTTGCAAGCTTGGCCGGTCCCTCCAACCCTACTCCAATCATCCCTCAGCCTCGCCCTCCCCAAAAGCAGCCGGCACAAACGCCGAGCACACAAGCCCGAGCCCCGGCAGTACCACCCAGGCAAAAGGCTCAATCCCAAGTCCAGGCCCCGGGAGATCGGGCGAAGGAAGGGCGCACCCGGGACGCCGAACACCAGAAAGAGCACCGCGTGAAGCAGCGACATGATGTCCCGGCTCAGGGACCTTCTTCCTAGGGCGAATGGGTCGCCCACGCCAAGACCAGTAGGGGCAGGCCGGTTCTGGAGGCTGACTCCATCCTTTAATCCCCCTAGGTAGCCTTTGCCGTCGTGGGGGCGCTGCAGTTTGACGCCGATGTGGCCGTGTACAAAGGTTACTCGGACAATCGGCTGCTGATAAGTGTTGTTCAAAGCAGCTTGGTGGTAAGTTCCTTGTCTTCCCGAGTAGATCTTTTCTCCTTTAGGTCTCTTACTAATATATTCTTCTCTTTCCAGGCTAGCCAGCAGGTGGGGGCCATCGTCGAACGCCGAGAGGGCCGCGGCTGCCAAGGACGACCATATTTTGAAGGTCGAGAGGACCCTCGGCAACCAGACCAAACACATCGTCGAGCTCATCCGCCAACAAGACGCCATTCATGCCGAATTGAATGAGGCTAAGGCGGGCGAAGCTGCAACGATGAAGAAGGCTGAGGAATACGAGTTGTGGGTAACCTCCGCCAAATCCAAGCTGCAAGAGTCCGAGTCCGTAATCAGCGCTTTAACAGCCAAAGTGGACTCCTTGATAGCGGAACCATCGAGGGAGCAAGATAGGCTGCAATCGGAGTGCATGAGGGTGTGGGCGGCCACTCAAGAACAAATGGTCCCGGCTTTCGAGGAGGCCAAGAAGAAAGCTTTCAAAGAAAGCTGGGACGCCTCCCTTCATGCCTGCCATGTCGAGGTTGGGTCGGACCTGTTTGCCAAGCATAGTCTTCACAGTGATGCTGATGACGAAGCATTGGAGCAGGTTCGTTCAGACCTCGGCGACCCTGTGGAGGCAGGCACGTCAGTCGATGCAGAAAGTGGAAGCGACCCCATCACCCTAAGTGACGAGTCTGATCAGCCTTCTCCTGTTCTCCCGACGTTGCCACCCGCCGAGCCATCAGACCTGACCTCTCCAGCCCCCGTCCTTAGCAGGGCGCATAACACAGAACTGGATGAGATACTAGGGGCTGGAGAGGAACTACAAAGGCGGCGGGGAGTCCTCGGCGGAGAAGAAACCGGGGGTGAATGAACTGAAGGCCCCGCAGCCGGCAGCCAAACTCATGTCTCTTTTTGAAGTTTTTCCTTTTTCAATTAAATTTCCTGTAAGCCCGGGGATGCAAAGCCCCATTTTGTGATAATGAAGTTTGATTTTCCACATTGTCTCTCATTTTATTGAATGTAGTTTTTTTTGGAAATATCAACGCCGAACTTATTGTTGTGTGATAAGACGCCTCGGGGCCATGCCCCCAATCGATCGAGCGCTTGAATCATTAGTATTTTGAGAGCGTTGGTCCATGAGTGGAGTCTTACACCCCTCAGGGTCGTGCCCCCAACGACTGAGCGTTTGGCTCGTGTTAGGACCATCGCGAACAATCGAACCATGATTTAATAATAATATTTCTTTAAATTGGATACATTCCATGGTCGAATTACATCATCACCATTCATACTTTGCAAACGATATGCGTTTGTACCTCCCACAGCGACCACCTTGTAAGGGCCCTCCCAATTGGGACCAAGTTTTTCATCCGTGGGTTCGCGAGTGTTTCCCACCACTTTTCGCAGCACCAAATCTCCAACTTGAAATTTTTGCGATCGAACTTTCTGCTGGTGCTGCCGTGACAACTCTCCTTGGTACTTCGCCAGCTTGATGGATGCCAAAGACCTCCTTTCCTCAGCTAGATCGAGATCCCTAGCGAGGGTTTGATTGTTACAGCCAAACTCGAGGGCTCGGCTCCGTATTGTCGGGAGTCCTATCTCCAATAGGATTACCGCCTCGACCCCATATGTCAGGGCGTACGGGGTTTCTCCTGTGGAAGTCCTCAGCGTGGTCCTGTATGCCCATAACACGTTAAGTAACTCCTTGGTCCACATTTCCTTTACTGCCTCTAACCTTTTCTTGATTCATGCCAGCAAAGTTTTGTTAGACACCTCGGTCTGCCCGTTACACTGGGGGTAGGCTGGTGTAGAATAGAAGTTGCTTATCCCGTACACTGAGCAGAACTCCCGAAATGGGCCACTGTTGAACTGAGTCCCGTTGTCTGAGATGATGGCCTAGGGAATTCCAAACGGGGTGATGATGTTTTGCCATACGAATTTTCTCACTTCAATATCCCGAATGCGGCCTAAAGGCTCTGCTTTGATCCATTTAGTGAAATAATCGGTTGCCACTATCAAGAATTTTTTGCCCAACGGGGATCTCAGGAGTGGTCCGACAATATCCATCCCCCACTGTGAAAAGGGTCACGGGCTCGTTAGCACGTTCAGATCTCCAGCAGGTTGCCGAATAATAAGGGCAAACTTTTGACATTTATCGCATTTTCGTACATAACTCTTTGCGCCTTTCTGCATATAAGGCCACAAATATCCTTGTGTCATTGCTCAGTGCGCTAGAGACCTTCTGCCCGTGTGGCTTTCACACACCCCTTCATGGATCTCGTATAACAGCGGTTCTACTTTGTCATCAGGAATACATAGCAATAGTGGCCCGGAGAATAATTTTCTGTATAGTTGCTCATCCA